ACACACACATATATTGTGTTAAGATATATATAACATTTAATATTCTAACTATTTTTAAGTGTACACTTCTGTGGCATTAAGTACAATTCATATCACTACCATCCATCTCCAGAACTCTTTCCCTTGGGCAGAACTGAAATTTTATCTATTAAACAGTAATGCCCTGTTCCTACTTTCCTATCCCTTGGCAATCACCATTCTATTCTATGTCTCTATGAATTTAACCACTGCTGGTAACTCACATAAGTGGAGTCACATAATATTTATCCTTTTATAACTGGCTTATTTCATTTATCATAGTGACCTTAAGGTTCATTTATGGTGTAGCATGTGACAAAACCTCACTCCTTTTTAAATCTGAATAATACTTCATTGTTTGAATATGCTACATTTTATCATTTCCTCCACAGATACCCTTTTGGTATTTTTTTTTTTTTTGAGAATAGTGCTGCTCAACATGGTATACCTGTATGTCCTTGCTTGGAATTCTTTTGGATATAATATACCAACAAGTGAAATCTCTGCATCACATGATAATTCAGTTTAATTTTTTAAGGTAATCACACCTTTTAAAGTAAGTAATATAAATCATAGTGAAATTTCTAAATTTCTACAAATAAACAAATTTTAATTACGGTTACCTTTTCTTTTTCAAGTAAATATAACCTATGAAGTAGTAGCTCAGGTACACAGATTGTCATCTCTGAAATCCTTTGCACAATCCTCATTAATACCTATGTAAACATTTCCAAAGTGGGCCAGGTCTGCCTGGAATAGTCAAGGCAGATGAAGAGTGAATAATAACCAATATAACAGATGACAAAATCATTCATCAAGCTTGCCAGATACAGAGATTTTATTAAACAGGAAAAAAAAAAAGGTAGGAAATGGCCCAGTTATGCTAATTTTGGAAAACAATCAAGCTGGACCTGAAGGCATAGGATACATGCCTATACTGTGCCAGCCACCTTCTTAATCAAGGCAACAGGAAGCAACAGGAGGCAGAAATTTGACCTGGCCTCTTAATTTTCTTCTAGGTTTTTATAGATTTCCAAAATTGTGCCCGAAGTCTGAGGAGAATTTGACCTTTGTTGTTGATAATAAACTGGGGTACACAAAAGGAGAAGAAACTAAAATCTGAGAGTAAAGAAAAGAAGATAAGGGAAAGGAGAAAGAGGAGGAGGAGGAGGAAACAGAAGAGGAGCTGGAGGAATGATGGATGGCAGTCAGGAGTTCATGAGTAAGAAAATAGCTTCACAAAAAAATTTCCTTATCTAGAATGAGCAGATTTCCATTGCTAGTAGATATTTCAGAGGTCTTTGTTGAACAATAGAGCAGGAACAAAGAGCACTCACTATAAGCCAGTCCTTCCCAATGGTCTGCCCAAGGCACTGGAACTGGAGAAACCTCACAGGAGAAGACAGGAAAGTGTATGCTGGTGAACAAATATGCCAGCTCTACCCGTCTCTGCCAAAAAAGATGAATCATTCAATCTGGATCTGATCTAAGAATCTGGGCTCTGGAACATTTTAGACAGAGAGAACTCCATGATGTCCTGAAGAGCTATTTCTCTGAATACCACTGTAATAAAGTAGGATTTGGAGATTAACAGCTGTAATCATCAAGCCAGCCCTTGGGGACTGAAAAGAACAGTGAGACTACAGCTCAAGTCACCTTGATAGGAGAGGATCCCCACCCACTTTGCCCAGGAGAGGTTAGATGACAAGCATTCTGGAAACCTTCCCCTGCTGTTTTCATGCCCATTCTGTTGCCACCCTTGCCCTGTGGAGAACAGCTGTAGACCCAGGAGAAGATCCTGTTCACAGACCCCACAACCACAGGGCCATGTACATGCCACCCTTTCTTCCATATGGAATCTATCACAAGAGCCTGACGGGTCCTTGCTTCAACAGAATTAGATATGCATTACCCTAAATGTTTCTACATTGCTTGACCCCTAAGCATTCATGTTCTCCTTAGCCTTGCTAACAATCATGGCTTGGAAAGTGATTTCTAGGATATGCATTTGCAGCTTAGCCCCATGGTTTCTGCGACTGGAGACAAATGGGAACCGCTCCATATTCATGTCAGTTCTGTTCTCAACCTTTCCCTCTCCCCAAGTGATTACTTCTGATTACTGTTTTCAGCTCTCCTCACAAAGAGCCTGGTTCTGCCGTCAGACTGAAATCTCTTGCCTTTTTACTTGTCCCAGCAACAAATGAAGTGGACAAAAGGGCTTTCTGCAGAGTTCATCTACCTGATTTTATTATTTAGAATTTCAGCATCTCTTGATGTAGAAAATGATGAACATAATTGGGCACAAGAATAATTGCAATCATAGTCATTTAAATTGTCTTTGGATGTAATCTGGTGGCCAATTAGATCTCAAATCATTGGAAATGTAATAATGGGCTCCTTATTAAGCTCAGGCTTAGAAACTAGTGGTCTTGGATTTATTTGTTCGTTCACTGTTCATCCTTTCATTCTTTTAAGTTTTAATTCCTCCACTGCTGTATCTCACAGCATCTCTATATTAGAAGCAGCAGTATATGTGTGGGCTCATCTGGATGTCAACTTCCACTCTGTGATCGTTAGTAGGGTTGGGCCAAAACATGGAGGCGAGTGTTTGAGAAGAATAGGAACATTTAAGATAATGTGTGTCTAATTTTGTTGAAGCAGGGACCCATTTGGATATCTGTTGCTGATTCCATTCCAAGTTCTGGGAGTCTACAAAGCTTCTGCAGCCTCTCCCCCAGCTTGAGGTAATGAGGCTTGAGTGTGCTGGAAGGGCGTTTCTAAAAAGATTCATAACACTTCCCTACGAATCGCAGTCCATTACCTATAACTGCTTTGGGAACATTCTCAGACACCCATAGAGTCTTTTGCTTCCTAAGGTGCTTAGGCTGATGTTATTAGAAAGAGTATTATTATGTTCATGAAGGATAAAAATGCTAACACTGATATTTTTCTTGGTTCAGTATCCATAAGTCAAAACTGACACTGATCTCCCAAATAAGCATGGATGACTCTTTTTAATTTTTCCTCCAGCTATAAAAGTAACAAATGGTTCCAGTAGCAGCAGACTGGGTAATTCAGATCAGCTTCTGTGCTGAGAAAAATGAATATATTTGGATGATGTTAAAATTTATCATCTTAAAAGCATCAAAGAGCTAACAAGAGAATGAAGAATCACAAGACCACGCATTGAACAAGATCCAGAAAAAGTAAGCTGAAGTCTCAGAGCTAATTTTGCTCTGAGGGTTTCCTCTGTAAACAAAGAAACAGCAGGAAAACTAAAATCAGGTTAGCAGGAATCACAGTCAAATGTCCAGGCTTCCGGTGTGCAGCTGCTAGCAAACTGCACTCCCACCAAACTACTAGTCTAAATGCCAACAGCCTCAGGGTGAGGGTGAAATGGACACAAACGGCCCGTCCAGGCTTGCAACCTGGCTTTGAGTCTTCTTGTGATGGTTTGAATCTTAAATGTTCCCCAAAAGGTCATGTGTTGCAGGTGTGGTTCTCAATTGGGAGATGGTGGAAACTGAGAAGTCAGGCTGTGCAGAAGGTCAC